TCAATGTAATTATGACCGAAAAGGAGTGTAAGTATCACTAAACACATTGAAAGTCTGAGCAGACTGTTGTACGATCAATCGACGCATAGAGAAAAGAAACATTTCTACGAACGATGTCTGCACGGCTTCACGCGGAGCCAACCTGCTGGAAGCACACCGGGAGGATTGCTGAGGCGGGAGAGATGGCGATCGAATCGACATGCCTCGAGAACATGAAAACATCTTAAAATTCATCAACCACAAACATCAAATGCCGGTGCCTTACGTCATTTACGCCGACTTCGAAGCGCTCATCAAACGGGTCAACCAGATTGCGCCATCCCCGGAAAAAAGTTTTACGTACAAAGCGCAAGAACACCAAGCCTGCGGGTCCGGGTACATGGTCGTTCGATGTGACGGTGAAACGGAGACTTCCGTGATCTAGCGAGGTCCCGATGCAGCCGAAACATTTCTCACGTTCTTACAACGCGAAGAGAAAAACATCAGGGAAGCTTTCGCGGACCCTGCCCCCATGGATATGACGCCTGAGGATAAACTCGCTCATGAAAAGGCTCAGCGTTGCCACGTGTGCGACCACCCCTGAACGGGGATGTCGTGAGAAATCATTGTCACATCACCGGCCGGTACCAAGGTGCCGCTCAGAACGCGTACAACTTAAAACTTAGAATCGATCCCCCAAAAATCAACATCCGCATGGTCTTCCACAATTTGAAAGGGTACGATGCTCACTTGATCATGCAGGCCATCTCAAACATCGATGGCGATATCAAGTGCATCCAGAACAACATGGAAAAATACATTTATCGATAGCACTCAGTTCCTCCTGTCGTCGCTCGACAGTTTGGTCAAGGCCAACGATACCTTCACCATCACCCATCGACACACTGATGAGGCAACTTGACCTCTGCTGCTCAAAAGGGTGTACCCGTGATGAGTACATGGACGATTGGTCTAAGTTCGGACGAGACCCGATTACCTCCCATCGACCGATTATACAGCAACTTAACCATATCTCCCATATCTCCGGGACGCGTGTGGAACAAACGACCATCGCTTTACCACGCGACCTGTATTTGGAACAAACTGGGCTGCGAATCTAGGCAACTACCAGACCCAACCTGTATTTGAAAACAGACATCCCAGGATGATTATGCTGCGCGTGTGGCAAACTGGCGTTGGCGTGTTCGTACATGGAAGATTGGTCTAAGTTCGACGAGACCCAATTATTTCCCATCGACCGATTTTACAGCAACTTAACCGAATCCCATATCTCCCAGGATGATTATGACCACGCTTTAAACGTGTGGAACAAACTGGGTTGCAAGAATCTAGATGACTACCACGACCTGTACTTGAAAACAGACATGCTGCTGCTTGCCGACGTGTTCAAGACGTTCAGAACGACGTGTTTGAAACAGTATCAAGTCGACCCTGCCTGGTACTACACCAGCCCCAGTCTCTCGTGGGATACGCTCTTGAAAAAAACCCAGAGTCAAACTGGAATTGCTCACTGATTACAACATGCATCTGTTCATCGAGAAAGGCATGCGCGTTGGGATTTCCATGGCCTCCAAACGGTACGCGAAAGCCAACAACAAATACATGGAAGGCTACGACTCGAGCAGCCCACCAATCACCTCCTCTTTCTCGACGCCAACAACCCTGTACGGCTGGGCCATGAGCCAGTCTCTACCTACGGGAGGGTTCGAGGGTTTCGACGATGAGATCGATATCATGAGCATCGCGCCGGATTCGAAAAAAGGCTACATCCACGAAGTGGATTTGGAGAATCCCGCAGAATTGCACACTGCTAACAACAGCTATCCGCTGGCTCCTGAACAGTTGACGGTGAACCGAGACTGGATGTCGACTAACAACACGCGTTGCTCGGATAATATAAGCTGGACAAAGTGGAAAAACTTGTTCCGAATTTGATGCACAAGACCATGTACTTGATGCACTGTCGGAATCTGCAGCTGTACTTGTCGCTGGGCATGAAGCTGACTAAAATACATCGGGTGCTCAAATTTGATCAAAGTCCCTGGATGGAACCTCGCTGAGAAAAAAGGCCACCAGCGACTTTGAGAATAACCTCTACAAACTGATGAACAATTCAGTGTTCGGTTAAACCATGGAAAACTTGAGGAAACGCGTCAACGTAAAACTCGTGCAATCTCATGAGGAACAAAAACTCGGGAAACTCACAGCCAGCCCGGCCTTCAATCTTAGCAAGCTATTCGATAATGACTTGGTTGCGCCACACATGAACAAAAGCCACATGAAGCTCAACCGACCCGTCTACGTGGGGATGAGCATTGTCGACTTGTCCAAACATCTCATGTACGATTTCTACTACAACGAGTTAAAAAATCAATATGGCGATCGACGTGAAGTGATGAAAACGGACACGGATTCACTGCTCATGGAAATTCGTACTGAGGACTTAAACGAGGACATGGCGAAACACAGCCACTTGTAAAATACCAGCAATTACCCCCCAAAAACGTCCTACACAGCACGACCAGTAAAAAGGTCCTCGGCAAGATGAAGGACGAATGCACAGGGACACCAATCGTTGAATACGTCGGATTGAGACCCAAGATGTATTCCATCCTGAAAACCGACAACGGCGAGATCCGAAAGGCGAAAAGGGTCAAGAAATACGTGGTGAAACAACTCATCAAACACACCCTCTTCAAACAGGCTCTCTTTGATAAACGCACGTTCAAACTCCCCATGAAGGCATTGAGAAGCGACAAACAAAATATCTATGGCATCACCCTCAACAAGACCTCCACTCTATGCGTCGAGACAGTTGAATGAACGATAGAGTGTATACATCATGGAGAAGGTTTACTACAGACCCACTACATAAAGTCGTCACTGAATATTATGGCTACATTTAAATCCAATCCAAACCCCGTTGCTAAGCTCGGCCGCCATCTTTGTTTGGCTTAGAAACCACAGTCCTGATCCGAGACCTTGAACCCTGACCGCTCATAGCATGAGCGGTCAAGCCTCGACACCAACCCAGCGCTGGCGTGACCTTTCGTGAACCCTGACCGCTTATAGCATGAGCCGTCACTTTGGTGCAAACCATCTCCACCAGCCCCCGTCGCTCACTTGACTCGCAAAAGTTTACGCCGATACCCCGTCTCAAACTCGCGTCGCTGGATTTCGAGGCCAACGCTCTAACCATCACACTGGTGAGCCGGCTGATACCTCAGTGTCCGGAACTTTGGGTCTTGGCTGGCGGCACATCGAAGGATGGCTCTTGATAGACCATCGCCGTTTTTAAGGGGGGCTGGGGGGCTAAATTCCCACAAATATGCCTCTAAGCCGCATCTGATGCAGAACCCCCACTCTAGTACTACTTATACCTACATACATAAGTAGTTAGGTAGGTAGGTAGGTAGGTAGGTAGGTAGGTAGGTAGGCTCTTCAAAAAAGGAAACTATACATGCTGTTTTGGTGTTTGCTTACTGAGTGCATATAACTGATTCAAACATGACATCATTGCTCAATAACAGTAAAATAATATACAAATTTCCAAAACATGATTATCCAGACAGCGTTTGGTAAAACCACAGAGGGCTATTAAAGCCACTTGGTCAGAGTAAAATGTCAGATTAACAGCTGGCAGCGGTGACCCATCGAAGAAAGGAGATGCCGAATGCTGTATTGAGGAATGTTTTGATATTGTTGCTGAAGTGCTGTGTGCAGTTCTTGTAGTGTCTGAGGTGGCGGATTACGCTGGCGCAAGCATCGATCAAGAGTATCCCATAGATATGGCCAAGGTGACACCTGAACATTGTTTTGCTGGAGGAAGTCCTGTCAAACATGTGCAACGTGAGGTCGAGCACTGACATGCTCCAAAGATCAACCGTTGACGTTGATGAAGGGAACGACGTGACGTTGAACTGGTCTTCTGGCATTAAATCTGGCTTCCCATAGCCAATTCGCACTGTCTGGTCGGAGATTCGGCGCAGTCTAGGGATTTGGATTGTTGTGGATGATGCGGCCGTGATGTTTGACTGAAGATGTCTCATCCGGATGTAGCGATCCTGGGCGGCGGTGGTAACTAGGTTGACCTGACCTGGGTCTGTCATTAACACTGCCAGTATCGTTGCATGGGGTCCATAGGTTTGAGATGGTCTGTATGGACACGCTGAAGTGCCTTGCCACCTCATGCTGCGATGCCCGTCCTTGTAAACAGCAGATGGCATTGTGTCGTTGAGCTTCTGCCAGTCATTTCATTCTGTTGTCTACAGTGACTCAAAGCAATGCATGTGGAGTAACATTGATGTGACTTTTTGAAGCCTACAGTCATTGGCCTCAGCTCAGGGTGATACACAATTGCACGTCCATTTCATGTAGGCTGCGTTTTAACGATTCACTACAGACGTGAGCGTAACGTTACGTTTTGCTTTAACGTTTCTTTTTTCAAACGTTTCTTTTTTCAAACGTTTAATTGTCGGCAACCATTCCGCTATGTGTTGGGATCTTCATGGATTGGTTTGTGTCAAATATTTTCCTGTGTATAGTTTCTTTTGTATAGTGTGTGTGTGTGTGTGTGTGTGTGTGTGTGTGTGTGTGTGTGTGTGTGTGTGTGTGTGTGTGTGTGTGTGTTTGTGTGTTTGTGTTTGTTTGTGTGTGTGTTTGAGTGAGTGAGTGTTTGAGTGAGAGAGTGAGAGAGAGAGAGAGAGAGAGAGAGAGAGAGTGTGTGAGTGAGTGAGTGAGTGAGAGAGAGTGTGTGTGAGAGTGTTTCTGTGTTAGTAAATAATTGGCAGTGAACAAATGTTCAGAATTTATGTTTGAATGGCACTATGTTTGAATGACAATGGCATTTACTATCTTAATCTTGAACATACCTTTAGAATTATTATTTCAAAAAAGGAAGGAGAGGGAGGACCGAGGGGGACGGAGGGAGAGAATGAGGGAGATAGAGGGAGGGATAGATCATTATGGAGAGAAAGGAGAGAGAGTAAGATGGGGAATGGTGGAGAGATTGGGAGTGAGAGAAAGTGTGAGGGAGGGACAGATAAGAAGTGAGGTAGGGAGATGCCTACTTCAGACGGAGAGAAAGAAGGAAGAGAGGAAAGGGAACAGTGTAAGATGGGAAAGGTGGGGATTGAGAGAAAGAGGGAGGGCTAGAGGATAGAAAGTGAGGTAGGGAGATGCTTACTTCAATCATACGTAAACCACAAAATGTATGACGTTGTACACGTGTAGGCGTTTCAGTTGTAGGATGATGGTGGAGAGTTCACAGTGAAGACAGTCATGATAAGTCAAAAGGGATGGATGTGTAAAGTTTTGAATCTGAACATTATACTTCAGAGCTGAATATAGGCAGGATGGAAGAAGGACAGACGGATGATAGTGACACAGAGAGTGGGTGGTGTACACCACCTGAGTACAGAACAGACAGTGATGGAGGCACGTCATCAGGCATGGAGGGTGCTGAAAATATGGCTGTTTATGAAGAGAGTGCTGACGAATTTAGTGATGGCACAGACGAGGATGAAGGGGATGGGATACGAGACATGTCACAACTTGGAGCAGGTGTTGTAGCGGTCAAAGTCCAGACTGTTCATCAACAGTCATACCAACTTATAAATAAAGGTAAGTGTGTTTTATAGAAATAATGATAATAAGAGAGGCTTTCTTGATACATCACTAGTCACACCTAAATGGAAGGTATAGTGATGTATGGCAGATAGTATTTACCAGTCTATTATAATCATCAAGCACTCACAACATCGTATTATGTTGGCTGTAATTTAATAGTGTAAAACTAGGAGAAGTGTTGTGCACCAATGCTGTTTTACGCGACTTCATATAAGCGTACTGACAGCTATTCCTATGGTATTGTATATATCTTGCCATGTCATTGTAGCAGTGTGAGAGGTACTATTTTCAACTGCCATTAGCTGTGAGATTTATCATTTGAGTTTGAGACCAGTTAGGTTTGAATTGTAGATGGCTTCACCAATGTTAACAGTTAGATTGTATTAACATTCCACTAATATGCATGTGATAAAGATAAGAGTATTATGTTAGCAGTTAATTGTGTCAAACCTCAATGGCTGAGTATTGTCAACCAATGTTCTTTTACCCTCTATAAGCCTAATGGCACCTTTTCCTATGGCATTGTAGGTGTCTTGCTATCTTATTGTAACTTTGTGAGAGGTATTATGCTCAACTTATATCAACTGGAACCGTCTGCACTAGCATGTAATAAACACACCATGCATGTATTTAAATTATATCTTACAATTCAGGTGAGCTACAGAGACCCCTGGCTTATTTTGTTGACGACTTAGGTTTTGAAAGCTCTGTGGTAACAGGAATAGTCAGAATTATGAAAAGCCTTGTGAGGAACAAGTTTCTAAACACTCCACTGGGGTTATCCAAGGAAACTTTGATGAAATCGTACAACAACTGTACACTGGTTACCTGTAGTTAACTTACCTGTCTGTTATGAGGGAGGGGAGGGGGCTGCATGATAAAGTCATGGACAGACTCTACTGTGGTGAGTGGTGGTGAAATAGAGATTGTCCGACTGAACGTTACACACTGATTCCTGTGCTGTGTTTATAGACAAACTTAAACTACATTGTGTGTGTGGTGTATCATTTTAACAATGGTAGTATTCATATGACTTTTGTTTGTGTCCTTTGAGATCCAACTCTGACCTGTTTGTTCCCTTCATAGATACAAAGTCACTAGCACAACACATTGTGGGATGTTGTCAGCAACAGCAGGGAGAAGTATCAGCAGCACCACAGCAACAACAGCAACTCCAACGAGGGTCAGGTGGTGATGGTGATGAAAGAACGGATCAGGCACACCTGTCCACAAGTACAACCTGTGTAGTTCCTGGAACAACAAGTCCAGGAACACCAGGTTCAGGAACATCAGCCTTGACACCAGAGTCCTCAAGTACATCTTGTGTAGTTCCTGAAACAAGTTTACAGGTTCCGGGAACATCAGCCTTGACACCAGCACCAGGTTCCTGAAACAACAAGTTTACAGGTTCCGGGAACATCAGCCCTGACACCAGCGCCCACATCGTCTCTTCTGCCCAGAGTACCAGGATCTCTTGTATCACAGATACAGTCATCTGGGCTGCTTCCAGTACCAGTCAGTGGGAATTCTCCTGCAGGTGGGTGGTTTTACTCTATATTGTTGACCTCTTTAAGATCAGCTATCATGTCATTCTTAATTATATAAAGGCGTGTGGCAGCTTTACTACTTTATAAACGCTTAGAAACTTAGCAAACCTTTATGACGGGCAAGGTGTAAATGGACCCAGTTGCCCGAACACCTATTAAACTTTTAATTATCCATCTGTCTCTGAGCTACCATCTTATCTCATCAACCATTAGAACCCTACTTCTCAGCAGAAAAACCCTTGAAGATTCGGGTTAGAATTGATCTTCAGTAACCCATGCTTGTTTAAAGAGGCGACTAACAGGATCGGTGGTCAGGCTCGCTGGTTTGGTTGACACATTGTTTCCCAATTGTGAAGGTCGATGCTCATGATGCTGATCACTAGATTGTCTGGTCCAGACACGATTATTTACAGACAGGCGCTATATAACTGGAATATTGCTGAGTGCGGGATTAAACAACAACCAACCAATGTTATTCATTTCAGTCTCCAATGTCAAAACCTAAACAACAAACCACCAACTTAGCAGATAAGATCATATCATTTACATTTACCAATACCTCATGTTTTGTCAATTCCCAATATCTCCTACTTTTTCTGTCATAATATACCTTCAGCTGTGAAGCTATGGTTTCTATGTCACAGTGTTTGGCAGGGTGCCTTTGACCTCAACACAAGTCTTTATCAAGCTCTGTTCAATTTATGAACTGACTTCATTCGGCAGCCACATTTTATAGTTTGGCATGAAATGCATGTGGACCCGGTTTTTTGTAAATATCACTTCATCCAATGATCCATTCGATCTCAAACTGTGCAAGTGGATGTTTTTCCAGACAACATAATCACATTGTAAATCACCGATTTTATGCATTTGTATTAAAGAATCTGTCTATGTAACTGTCAACCAAATAAACATCAGAACGCAGACTGCTGGCAGAGGGAGGGAGCCAATGACCTGTAACAGCGGTAGTGTTGGGTCATAAAGGTAAATGCACATGCAGTTCATGATAGTTACCTGTGCACTGCACAGTGATAGACCGTTTGGATCATTCACATTGACTACTTCTAGCTGTCATCATGAAAGCTTATTCAGATGATGCTAAACGTTTAATTAGAAATGTGTTTAATTATTTTTAAAAAAAGAGCAAACATAGGAAACCGATTTATAAGATGTCAGATTACATGAAACATACAACTTTTGCTCTTGGCATTATAAAGAACATCGTGCTAAAAATTGTGCACAAATAAACCAACAACCAATAAACAAAACCTTGTACAAAAAGGTAGGCATCCAAAGTTAGATTCTTTTGACATCAGGGTCATCAGAGATGTCATTCGACGGCTATTTGCTAGAAATGAACACCTGTCCACAAGAAAGTTAAAACACATCCTTGCAGAGGATCACAAGACGTTAATGTGTTTCTAGGTTTATACTAACCAAACTACTGTTCAAATTTGGATACAAGTACAAGAAGGTAGCAAACCAGAAACTTGTAATGTGTGAGGGGTCTGATATTGTGAAATAAGGTGTAATTCTGAGAGAAATTAAGCAGGCAAGAGAGGATGGGTTCGAACCTATATATCTGGATGAGACCTGGGTCAATGCAAACCATACTGCTGCCAGACAGTGGTTACCCACTGATCCCAGTGATGGTAGAAAAATACCATAAGGCAAAGGTGAACGTTTAATCGTTCTTCATGCTGGTTCCCACCGAGGATTCCTACCTGGTTCTAGATCAAAACAATAGGTGCCCAACTTCCAATACAAGGAAGTCAGATATGCAGCAATGGCTAACAAATAGCAATATACAATTTTCAATTAAGGCCACTAAACCACAGTTGTACTCTTGATTAAACCTAACAAACCTCCACCCACATATAACATTGACAACATGCTACGCCAACACAGCCATAAGGTCTTGAGATTACCACTGTGATCTCAACCCAATCGAACTTATCTGGGGAGACCTTAAAAGTACAGTGGCCCGGAAAAATCAATCGTTCAAGTTGAATGATGTCAAGCACATTGTCAACACTGCTATATGTGACATTGACATTGCACGCTGGCATGCATGTGTTGAGCATGTCAAGAAGGTGGAGAAAGAGTACTGGCTCAAAGATGGGCTTGAAGGAGCAAACAGTTAATCCTGTTGTCATTCGTCTGGACAGAATGGAGAGAACTTGCTGAAGTTTAATTCTGTTATTATATTTACAGATAATAATAGTATCCAGCCAGATATGCTCAAAGAAATATAACTTCTCTTAACAATGACAGTACTAACTAATTCCAACGACTTATAGTGTAACATGAAACACTCATTTCACATTAAATTATCATGAAAATATATATAATAACTATCTACATGCTTAAAGCTATTGGAAATGCATTGCTTAATTTGGAATGTGAACGACATCAAAACGTAACACTCCGTATGATGGTTAACAGTGGGCACCCACTTTACCCTATTCACGACCTGTGCCACCTCTTCATACCTGTCACCTGCATAGCTGACCTACATTGACGAACGTTGACCTTTATGACCCAACACTGACGCTGTTACAGGTCATTGGCTCCCTCCCTCTGCCAGCAGTCTGCGTTCTGCTGTTTATTTGGTTGACAGTTACATAGACAGATTCTTTAATACAAATGCATAAAATCGGTGATTTACAATGTGATTAGGTTGTCTGGAAAAACATCCACTTGCACAGTTTGAGATCGAATGGATCATTGGATGAAGAGATATTTACAAAAAAAACGGGTCCACATGCATTTCATGACAAACTATAGAAACAAATGCTGATGATATGTTTTCAGATTCACTAGAAATATTGAACACATCTATGAAACCTTCAGTCATATGGCTTTTGTTACAGTAACACTATGAAGCTTTATGAAAGAGAGCAACATTTTGGAGATGTGACCATGGCAGTGTGTTTGACCTCAGCATAAATCTTTTTTTAAGCTCAGTTTCATCTATGCCATTTATATTTGGCAAACACGTTTCAGAAAACTATCATAACTTATACGAAGTGTTTTTGTCTGCTGGTGTTTTCACCTGTTTTCAGAATCACTAGCAGAATCTAAGTTGAAATATGGATCACGTCTATGTAAGCTTCAGTCATGTGGTTTCTGTTACAGTCACACAGTACAACCTTATCCAAGTACGACAGCAGTTTGGTGATGTGACAGTGAAGGGAGGCAAGAATCTGAACATTGGCGGAACTCAGAATGTCAGTACAGCTCCAACCAAACAGGAAGAAGAGGAGATACCACTGACTGCAGCACAGAAGATCAGGAGTGAGATATTTGATAATGTTTTCCCAATGATTGTCCATGTGGTGGTAATGTACGATTAAACCAGACTGATATAGGCTATGTACTAAACCATCAGGTTGCTCACCTTGCACGGAGGCCACAGACGCGTGGATGTCGTCAAACTGTTATCACAGATGCTCCTGTATTACCAGGTATCGAGACAAACTAAAATTGATGTTGGCTGGGCTCCGTGTCGGACGTGCACGGTTCAACTTCATCGGTCTTGACGTGGTGTTGATACTGGTGGGCGGCTTCAACAGGGGCAGTCTATAACTTGATTGTTTTGCTGAAAACTTCATTGAATCGACGAGGAACGTCACGCTGTTCTATCTTTATCTCTCTATCTGTCACTTTCCCCGAGGCATGCCTTTGTTATGCTTCAGTTTAGTGAGATATTCTCATTTTGATGGGTGATCCAACTGATTATTGGTCACGTCTTGTTACTGGCATTACCTTGCACATGACACCAGACCTTTGTTTATTCTTTATGCAATTTTGTCTTCTGCTATTTCAGCAGATGCCCACAATTTGTGGTATCTATTTAAGAACCTTAACAAAATTTGAGTCACTTTTATATGGGCCGGTAGGGTACCCCGGTAGCCTATTGGTTGGTAAAGGTGTTTGTTTGTCCTGCCGAAGACCCGGGTTTGATTCCCGATATGGGAACAATATGTGAAGCCCTTTTCTGGAGTAAAATGTTCAAATCTTAAGTTTGTTCACTTTATATAAATGTGTTAAATGTGCCTTGTTTCCACAGAAAGGACGACATCCAGGATACAGTTGTGGACTAAAGACATGGTGGAGACAGACGCCCTCAAGAAAGTGAAAGAGAAGCTACACAGAGGTGCAACATGGGTGACAATTACAGGAAGACCGGGAGAGGGGAAGTCCACAACCGCCTACATGGCTCTCAAAGACCTACACAGTCAGGGGAGACAAGTATACCAAGTGGTGTCACCAGAAGAGTTCAATGAGGTCATAATGGCCTGCTCTCACCCTGTCATTCTGTTAGATGACATGTTGGTGATCTAGAATTCGACGCTGCAGAATGGACCAAATGGAGACCAAGTCTCCGACCTATTTTGGATGTGAAACATCCTGACAAATATGCTGAAAAAGATTCTTTGGACTTTTCGACCAAAACTGAAAAGGTTTCAGAGAGGACAAAAGGTGATCAAACACAGATTGAAACAAACAAGTCCAAACAAAGACAAAACTATCATAATTCTCACAGGCGGGGACTATGTGCTGAAATCCTCATTGGCAGACTTGGGAAGGATGGCAGATTACATTCCAGTCCCCAATACATTGGTGGAAGTTTCCTCACAGAGAGACTCTTATGGAGCCGAGGAAGATATAGGCGTGTTCATGCTGAAACAAAAAACATAAACTTTAAAGAGTCAGTTGTGTCACAGATATGTGAGGTAGACTGTCCACATGGCTTCCCCATGTATGTAAAATGTTTGTGTAGCATATGAAAAGGATTGGACTCAAATTAAGCCCAGGAGGCTTTTTCAAAGCCTATTGCTTTCCTCAACCAAACTTTGAATAAACTTATGAAAGATGAGGAAAAGCATTCACTGTTCATGGCAATGATTAAAAAGATGGGGAGATTAGTGGACGAAAGAAATGGAAGTAGGATGATAACCTCGGTTATAAACACAAAGAGCGTTGCTGGCGATTTGGTTGGATGTTACCTCAAGAAGGAGGGTGACACCTACATGTTTGATCATCCGTCTGTTTATGACAGTGTTTCCTTTATTCTCAGTACAAAACAACCAAAGTTTGTTATTGAAAAATGTAGTTTGTCCTTTATAAATCAGCGACTTCGTCTTGCACCCCCTAGAGGGAGAGAGGAAAACGTCGCTGGTGAGGCAGAGTCTTGTTGCAAGCATCCATGGACATATGCTGGACATTTAGCCAGAAGATTTGCAAGTGAAATACACAGGAGGAATTTGTTGCATGTTTTATCCCACCAAGCATGTTGTAATTCAGACTTTGTTCACTTGCTAATGGACTACCTGAAAGCGCAGTTTTTCACATGTGTGCATCTGACATTGTGAAACTAATTGATAAGTCATCCGAACAGTCATTTTGTGAATTACTTCCCAGCAACAAATCACATCATCTCATGAAATATATTATGGAGAAAGAAAATATATCATTCAGCCAGGATGAAGGGAGGGCCATTTTGCTGGGTGTGTGCATGAATGCTGCGTGCAGTGTACTGAAATACATCAGTGGACATATGGAACTTGATTTAAATGCTACATACGGTTGGAAGGAAGCTTGGCGCCCGATTATGTTAGCAGCAGAAACCAGAGACGAAGCGTGTTTGTTAATCAGATTTTGTCTCTTGACCCTGACCTCAATGCAAGAGACGGGTTTGGTAAAAGCGTGTTTCATTATCTTTGTGTAAATGGCCTTACATTAGCCGTAAAGAATGTGCTTGACAAGGGAGTGGACGTTAATGAGGATCAAGGATCACGCCGGGAACACCCTCTATACATTGCCATAGAGAAAGGTCACGTAGAGGTGGTGAAACTGTTGGTTAACAGAGGATGTTATGTAGATAACCAGAAAGGTCTTAGATGTGCTGTTGTAAGCCTGAACGTGGACATGGTGCTGTTCTTTTTAAACAGAAGAGTAAAGGTTGACGGAACTGTTGTGTGCATAGCTTGTGAAGCTGGGGAGTTGAACATAGTTGAGATGCTATTTGAGAAGGGTGCTACTGTTAATATGGTGTCATATGGTGAAGATACTCCACTTCACAGCGCATGTGAAGGAAATCCTACTGTTGTTGCATATTTGCTGAAGAAAGGAGCAAGTGTCAATCAAGCTTCAAATCGTACAGGTGACACACCCCTTCATAAAGCAGCAGGATGTGGATCTACAAAGTGTGCTGACGTGTTACTGAAGGCTGGAGCTGATGTTAATGTTCAGAATATAACAGGTGACACAGCACTTCATAAAGCAGCAGGAGGGGAATCTACAGAGTGTGTTGATGTGTTACTGAAGGCTGGAGCTGATGTTAATGTACAGAATAATACAGGTGACACAGCACTTCATAAAGCAGCAGGAGGGGAATCTACAGAGTGTGTTGATGTGTTACTGAAGGCTGGAGCTGATGTTAATGTACAGAATAATACAGGTGACACACCACTTCATGAAGCAGCAGGAGAGGGATCTACAGAGAGTGTTGATGTGTTACTGAAGGCTGGAGCTGATGTTAATGTACAGAATAATACAGGTGACACACCACTTCATGAAGCAGCAGGAGAGGGATCTACAGAGTGTGTTGATGTGTTACTGAAGGCTGGAGCTGATGTTAATGTTCAGAATAATACAGGTGACACACCACTTCATATAGCAGCAGGACGGGGATCTACAGAGAGTGTTGATGTGTTACTGAAGGCTGGAGCTGATGTTAATGTACAGAATAATACAGGTGACACACCACTTCATGAAGCAGCAGGAGAGGGATCTACAGAGTGTGTTGATGTGTTACTGAAGGCTGGAGCTGATGTTAATGTTCAGAATAATACAGGTGACACACCACTTCATATAGCAGCAGGACGGGGATCTACAGAGAGTGTTGATGTGTTACTGAAGGCTGGAGCTGATGTTAATGTACAGAATAATACAGGTGACACAGCACTTCATATAGCAGCAGTGTGGGGATCTACAGAGTGTGTTGATGTGTTACTGAAGGCTGGAGCTGATGTTAATGTTCAGAATAATAGAGGTGACACAGCACTTCATATAGCAGCAGTGTGGGGATCTACAGAGTGTGTTGATGTGTTACTGAAGGCTGGAGCTGATGTTAATGTTCAGAATAATAGAGGTGACACACCACTTTATATAGCAGCAGGACGGGGATCTACAGAGTGTGTTGATGTGTTACTGAAGGCTGGAGCTGATGTTAATGTACAGAATAATACAGGTGACACACCACTTCATAAAGCAGCAGGAGCATGGTGGGGACCTGCAGAGTGTGTTGATGTGTTACTGAAGGCTGGAGCTGATGTTAATGTACAGAATAATGCAGGTGACACACCACTTCATGGAGCAACAGGGTGGGGATCTACAGAGTGTGTTGATGTGTTACTGAAGGCTGGAGCTGATGTTAATGTACAGAATAATGCAGGTGACACACCACTTCATGGAGCAACAGGGTGGGGATCTACAGAGTTGGTTGATGTGTTACTGAAGGCTGGAGCTGATGTTAATGTACAGAATAATACAGGTGACACACCACTTCATACAGCAGCAGCAACAAGTCGGGGCTTTACAAAGTGTGTTGATGTGTTGCTGAAGGCTGGGGCTGATGTCCATGTACAGAATAATACAGGACAGAAACCACTGCACTAGTTGCAAGTCTTATCAATGTAGATTCAATAGACATTTGTTGATTTAATTGATCAGTGCAGGAAAGGTTACTAGATATATGTCACTTTGTTACTGTTTATGTGACGACTTAAAAATAGAACGAAGGCAAGAACATGATAGCTTCTGTTCTTTAGGATGGAAAGTGGAAACTGACAGTACTGTCGGAACTAGAAAAAAATCAGAGATTATTGCATAAATGAGCAAAGCAGTGTTTTTTTGTAAGTCCAAAGCGACTTATTTGGAACAGACCATGGCTTTATGCAAATTAGTGTAATAATTCCAGATATTGTATTAAAAAGGACACTTTTTAAATGCCCATTTTGAAATTAGACTTAGCCTGATTATAACGATTGCTGACGTAAAAAATAATAACTTAAAGGTCACATGCAACCAAAAAATCAAACATAATTAAAACACAATTATCACTTATTTATGACATGTAATATACATTGCTGGTTATGAAAAAACATATAAACAAAATTATAATCGCTACAATCAAAAGTGCAATATTTTGTACTTGGGTTTTACTTCCCAAGAAAGCGAAGCAGCTAGGATAACCGAACCCAGTCAGAGCGGGTGGGTGTGTGCACTCATTTGTAATGGCTGGTTCATCTGCAGATGCCCTCACGGCTCATTGTGTGTGTATATATAGAGATGTTGGGTTTTGTAAATACATGCTCGTTTTTTGTGTATAACATTTTGCAATCAACAGACATCATAACATGTCATGTATACAAGTATCATACCTGCCTGTCTGTGTAATTACATAATGTGGCAGAGACCGAACTCGGGCCATAAATCAATCGCGTATTGTTTATGGTGTATAGGCTGATAGGTGTTAAGTTCAAATTGCATGTGGTCAGTGATCGAATTTGTGTATTGAATATTTTCATTTGCAGATGGGCAGGCAGACACATAGGTGTCAATAAAAACAGACATTGAGTTTTGTCTGTGACAACGACATATCTATATCACAGTTAGAAATTCTGTCAACGCCAAATAATGACATTGCTTTTAAGTATCGAACTGAGAAAGTAACTTGGTAAGAAATACGGGTGATGAAATAGACAAATGAAATTATATAAACAGTTAAATCAGTAATCTACTGTAATAACATATAAAAAGCTCGCGCCTGTGAAATATCAACAAAACATTAGAAAAATAGCTCACACCAAAGCCTTCACCGAGTATTCACCAGGACAACCCGCTTCCAAGCTGCTTGTGAACATATACTGTATATTTCACTGCATGTGCTATGAAAGCGCAGCCAGCTGTTGAAACCACTTCAATTACCCCAACCGCTGGGGGAAAATTAGTGAATCGTTTGAACTACGATTTCGCGCGGGTTTTTTCATCATGTTATTTTTCAACTTTATAAGTTGAAATTGCATTTTTGATGATTTGTTTCGGTAAGTCCATACCGAAACGTATCATAATCTGCAAAGTTGTGTTTTACGTTGCATGTGACCTTTAAATACTGAAACTATTAAGGATGTAGCTAACATGGAGTCTCACTAACACTATAAAAACAGATGGGTGTCGCAGACAGTGGTTGGGCTCATCCTGGAGGATAGAGATATCAGCTAAGAAAAGATAATCCTTTAGGGGAATTAAACTGCGGAAGTAAACGGCATATCATAACAATTTACAAATATTATCCTGCCCTGTTGATCTTCGGCTGGTCATGCCACCTATATATTTTGAGACATTGAATACGATGACTGATTTAAGCTTTTCTATGGGTATCATACTCTTTTACATATTTCAACATAAACTTTATGATAGAAAGACACGTAAGATGTTAATCAACAGATGAGACATATTCAACACACATGAACAAGCATGAAATATCTTTGAGATGACCCATTGTGCCTGCACGCACCACATGCATTTCATGTCAGGTGAGTCGTCGTCATACCTGGCTGAGCGACCTAACTGTCATCTATAGTGTGATCTATTGTTTTGCCGATTTTACATATAAACATGTTTTTATGGATATCCTATTGAGCATCCCACTGAACGCTAGTTAGGCTGATGTGGGTTTTTTCGACATATGCTATTTGCAATCGTGAAAATTATAGGGTTACAGAGTAACAGCATAAAAACAGGGTTTTTTTCCTATTTCCGACAGTACTTTAATGCAGGTAGAACCCACTCTGAAATTCTTCAGTGGAAGCGTCCACCATGAAAAATAGCACAAAGCTCTCTGTAGTTCATATTTTCTTTGTGTTGACAGTCTTTAACCCCACCATTGTCAACTGCATTTTGTATATATCAACAATTTGTGCGCTGACATTATTCCAATCTTACACTTTCTAAAGAATTCGATCTGCATGAACAATGCCACCGGGATGAGGCAAATAATACCTTAACATAGACTTAGAGCTAAGCTTGTTTTGTACAACAGCGCCATGGTCTTTAATGATCTTTGGTATTTCTGACTCTGTGAGGAGTAAATGCTTGTACGACCTAATTTTGTCTGCAAGATTGTACTTTGAGTAGCTAGATTGACATAGCCACATACTATTTCCTTTGCTTATTAATTATCAAGTTGAATTTAAAAATTGAAAAACTGCAATATTTCCTAATGAATATGAGGGGTGGTATTGTCACACAAATTG